GTATGGACTGGATAAATGGACTGTAAAGTGGTTAGAAAGCTGGCTAGGTTGTCGGGCACTACGGGTAGTGATCAATGGCTTGATGTCTGGTTGGTGTTTGGTTTCAAGCAGAGTGCACGAAGGGTTGGTTCTAGGGCCAGTTTTGTTCAACATCTTTATTAAGGAACTGGATTAGGAGATGGATTGCACCCTCAGCAAGTATGCGGATGACACTAATCTAGGGGGAGAGGTAGATACATTGGAGGACAGAGATAATGTCCAGAGTGACCTAGACAAATCAGAGGATTGAAGCAAAAGAAATCTGATGAGGTTCAACAAGGACAAGTGTAGAGTCCTTCACTTGGGGCAGAAGAATCCCTAGCACTGATACAGGCTGGGGACCAATTGGCTAAATAGCAGTTCAACAGAAAAGGACCTGGGGATTACAGTGGATGAGAAGCTGGATGTGAGTCAACAGTGTGCCCTTGTAGCCAAGAAGGCTAATGTCATATGAGGGTTCATTAGGAAGAGCTTTGCCCGCAGATAATTACAGTTTATTTGGCACTGGTAAGGCCACACCTGGGGTACTGAGTCCAATTCTGGGACCTCTTCCCCCATTACAGAAAGGATGTGGCCGCATTGGAGAGAATTCACTGGAGGGAAACCAAAATAATTAGGTGTTTGGAGCACATGACCTATGAGGAGAGGCTGAGGGATTTGGGTTTATTTAGTCTGCAGAAGAGAAGAGTGAGGGGGGATTTGATAGTATCCTTCAACTTCCTGAAGGGAGGTTCCAAAGAGGATGGAGAGAGGCTGTTCTCAGTGATGGATGGCAGAACAAGGAACAATGGTCTCAGGGTACAGTGGGAGTGGTCTAGGTTGGATATTAGGAAAAACTATTTCACTAGGAGGGTGGTGAAGTACTGGAATGGGTTACCTGGGGAGGTGGTGGAAACTCCATCCCTAGAGGTTTTTAAGTCTCAGCTTAAAAAGGCCCTGGCTGAGATGATTTAGTTGGGGTTGGTCCTGATTTGGGCAGGGGATTGGACTCTGTGACCTCCTGAGGTTTCTTCCAGCCCTTGGATTCTATGATACCTGAATAGCTCTAGCAGTCACTCCAAAAAAAGCTAGGTTGACTAAGCACTAGCAGCAATCCACATTACAGCACACTACTTATGTGTTCTTTAGGGGCTGGAGGACACCTCCACACAAAGCCCTAAGGGGGAGTGAGTGCACATTCTGCAATCCTGAAAGAACACACGACAATCAGAATTTTCTAGTGGGGTCTTACAATGTGTATGAGCCAGCTGGGAACACTAACTCCCTTCTTCCATCCTCCCCTCCAGTTCCTTATTTGCTTATTTTGCTAACTGGGATTTGTTACGATTTAG